GGGGGGATTTTTTCCATTATTATTGTGTCTGACACTTACTTGCTCAGATTACAAGGAAAAAATGAGTGCCTATGCTTTAACTGCCAATCCTAAAACCTAATCCTGGAATTGGGGTTTTTTACCCCCTTTTTCCAAACAAGCAATAATTCTCTCTACCCTTCATGCACAATGCCAATGCTTTAAGAACATGCTTTGTCACCACCAAGAGGGTTAGAAGGTATGCCTCAAAATCAGCTTTAAGAGGTCCTCACCCTTGCCCAGAAAAGATTTCAACTTGAAAACTGTATATCTATTATGTTTTATAAAAAATTCCCAAGATTACCTGAGCAAAAACACCAGAAAACTTTTCTTCCCTCTCCCTTTCTTCTACTATATACTGGATTTGTTAATTGGTTTCACTTCTCTATTTATGGTTGTCCACTTTAGTTTCACTATTCAGACGGGAGCTAAACTGCACACTGATTTGAAAATATCCTTTACCAGCAAGAGAAGCAGCATTAAACTAAAACTTGTAAGAGACAAGTGTGCTTGCTAAGAAAATAAGATGTGTAAAGGAATGGTGCAAAACATGACTGGCACTGTTAAATCCTAAACTCTGGAAAAATACTTCTGTAAATCTGGCAAGTGAGTAAAAGGAAAAATACTTCTGTAAACATGGCAAGTGAGTAAAACCACCTTTGTATTAAAGCAAACAAACAAACAAAAAAAAAACAAACTAAAAAACACCCTAGACTTTCTTTTTCTACTAGTCATTTTAAAAAAAAAAATTAAAAAAAATCAAGTGTTACGGTGTTCCGAAAAAGACAAACTGGACTATACTGGAAGAGATAAAGCATAATGTGGTTATAGAGAAGAGATATAAATGAGACATAAATAAGAAGTATACCTGGTAGTATATAGAAGTATACATCTGGATAAATGCAGTGAAAAATGTCACTAGCGGACAAGTCCTGTTGACTGATACAGGCTCCCATTCCTAACTCTGACAATACCTCCCTGATACTTTGGGGATTCCCCAATTAATCTGCATTGCCATATGAACACAGTACCCTATGAACATGAGGGGCATTACTGAGAGCAACATGAATGACACAAATAAAGTGCCATCAAAATGCAAAGTAACGCAGTAGTATGCCTCATTGTACAAGAGTTCATCATGTCTTTGCAAGCTATGCAGTAAAATAACCAAGATCTTCCCTTTTTGCAGATTGTGCAAGATCTGAGTGATGTCACTCAAGAGAACTCATGCTGGATTTCAGCTGAACAAGGCAAAGGCAAAGGGGGAGGAGGAAAAGGGGGAGACCTCTGCCAACACAGCATTCGAAAAGCTCTGGCAGAAAAGGACAGTCGTAGCTGATGCCGGAGGACAGCAAATGTATCAGAAGTCTGCTGTGTAATGGCACATGGAGATGGAGTTCCCAAGCAGTGCACGGACATCAATAATTAGGGAATGATATAGACATTAGGCTTCAAGGAGGTACTCCTGATACCTCTCTGAGCCTACACGTGTTAGCCTCACCTCTCGGAAAAGTTTAATTACATATAAATGTTGCACATCATTCAAGAGGAGAACCTGGAGAACAGAAGCCTCACACAAATGCATATAAACTCAAGTTTTTCATGTATGCACATCAGTTTAGAGGATTTTTTAAAATTTTGTCAGAAAGATGAATACAGCAACAATTTGGAAAAGGTACTACCCAAAATAGCTACTGGTTACACATAGGACTCACAAACACAACATTCAAACCACAGCCTCAAACATGACCTTGACTGTGGGAGACAGAGCTACTGACTACTCCAGACTGACTTAGTTCCCAAGCCACAATACAGAATGAAAACAAGCAATGTAACCTTGAAATTTTTCACAACACACAATTTTTGTATCTTGGCCAACTTTGTTTGTAGCCTCTCCTTTCCATGGAACTTCCTGCTTTTACAGGAGATGGTTAAATTTTGTTGATGCAATCCATGCCTGCAAACAATGAGTCAAACACTATTTGGCTTCTGAAATCAACCTATTCTGTCTCTTGCAAATAAACACACAGAGGACAATTTACTCTGATTATATCATTAGAAGAGAGTAATTTCCCACAGCCATTTGCTTTTATGACAGAGGTTTGATTGTCCTGTTTGCACAGCTTTGCACCAATAAAAATGAAAGCATACGGAATCAGAGAGCTTAAATCTTTTTTTATTAAATCCCTCGATTTAAAGGGAACTTCAGGATGTGTGGAGCTGTGTTAATTCCCTTGTTTCCTAGGACAGAACATGTGCATAAGAATCATTACATGCTAGTCATTTCAGCTGCTAGAATCTCCCTTGGAGTTGGCCAGCTTGGACACAGTCATGCTGTTCGAGTGAAGCCTGGAACGGCTACTGCCATATTTCATTGCTAATTTAATTTATTGTGCATTAGTAAGCACTGTTAGCAAGTAGCACATCAAGAACCTAGAATGGTCAGTATATTCCTGTGTATACTATAAAGTCTTTAACTAAATATGAGGTCATGATGAATATAAACATAGACACAGATGACTATTTTTTGGCTGTTTCAACCTTGAATAAAAGATGAGGCCAAGATGCATCTCCCACCATCTTTTATAGCTCAACCTCCTTAAACCAGACCCTCAACCTCCAATCGCCTCCCTAATCTACCTTTCTATTATATATCTAGTCTTCAGATTGCTGTTTTCTGCCCCATAAAAGAACTACTTCTTCCTGGCACTGTGCCTTCATTCACAAGCCCAGACAGTGCAAAGGATGGGCAACAGCTCAGAGCTATTTCTTCCCAAGGAGTGTCACCATAGACTACCCGATCCATGGGTTCTTAGTCCACAGCAATGCAAACAGCTCACTTCACTTTTATCTGCATACACTGTGAGTTGGAACAAACTTCCTCTACATTCCAGACTCTAACTCTCAAAGCTGAAAACCTAATGGAACCCGTCTCTCAATTCTGAACACAAAATTATAACCAAGTTGTGCTTCTACAGAAGTTTTTTCCTGAAACAAACCAAAAGCCCCAAACCAAACACTGTGCACCTGTGTATATTAGGATGACATGTCAGGGTTAAAGCAAAACACTGAACGCATAATACTATGAGGAAACCTCAAAAAAATAAAATAGAAGCTAAGTCTGGTATCAGAGAGGACAACCACCACTCCCCTTAAGGACCTGTAGTATGTAGTCCACAAGTTTGGGAGAAGCATTTATTAATCAGGGCTATTTTATAAATGCTATTGCGTTCTGGACTACAAAGTGCTTGTGTTTGTTATTTCAGTACTTTTCTTTTAAATAAGGTCTTCAATCTTCAAAGATGATTACTGGCCCCAAGGCAAATGGAATACGGTAAAAACTGTCTGGAAGTTTCTTTTAAATTGTTTTGGTTACTTTTATGCTTCTTTGAACGCAGAAACAGTTAGATGTCATATTTTAATTAACTGTGTGATAACAGCACAGAAAACTCTTAAGATCCCACTTGATGATTAACAGCTGAATTACAAGTTCTTCAAAGGTGAGTTAAACTACAGTGCTTTCATCAAGAATGGATGAACTCAAAGATCTCCTAAAGGAATAGTGAAAAATTAGTTTCCTCAGAAAGGAGATACATGCATTGTTCACAAACATTCTAAAAAAAAACCAACCCCAAAACCCAATCCCACCTGCCTAGGAACAGACACTGGCCAACCTCATTTTTAAGTTTATATAAGCCTGTTAGGTTTTTATAATCTGGAGGCAAAGACTACACAAAATATGACTACAGGCTATAAAATACGCGGACTTGCATACGAACTGTAACTATTGGTGCACATACACTGTTTAAATACAAGCTCCTGCTTGTGCTTCTGCAAGTATCTACATATGCGTATGGTCTGCAGGTGCAGTTTAAACGATCTGTAAGGGACAGCCTTCAAACACGCAAATTCTAGATTTTAAACAGGTAGTGGTTTATTTAATGTTCTGAAGTAATGCCACAACATTTTTGACAGCAAAATGCAGTCCAACAGTTTTGCTTAGGTTGGAAGAGCATGCTTGGTGATGTCATCAGTTTTATTTAGGTAATTTTGCATCATTTATGCCAGAGTATAATTTGTCTCAAGTTTCCTTATTCCTTGGGAGTCTTGTTTGTGCAAGAAGATGGGACCTCAGTTCAGCTTTCCAGCAAGAAGCTCTCATCTCAGAGAAGTAAGTTGTCCTCAGGACAGTACTAACCCCTGTCACCCTGCAGACATGAAATGGAAATAAATTGTCCTCCTAAGTACAGTAGAACAAGTGGAATTCACTTAGCTTAATTCCCCTGAACACCAAGAAGGAACAGAATTTATTTTGGAAAGGGCAGTTGCTGGTTTAATCAGACTTGGACTACTTTAGTGATGCCACCACACATCATGCAGCTGTATGCTACAACAGCAAAATACCAAAAATACTTGAGTTTTCAAGATTTGAACCCAAGGAAATATCGCTGCTAACAACCTGCTTGCTAACTCCCATGTCAGTGAGCAGAGAAGGGGCCTGAAGAAAAAATAAAAATCCAACATCCAGGAACATCAGTCCGCCTGCCTGAAGCTACAGAATTTTCCTCCTCCAATAATTACAGTTAAAATCTCTGTCTTAGTATCTTTTGCTAATTATAAATACTTCATTACTGTCACCATGGGTAATAGCAGGCAGAAATCGCTGCAGGCATATGGCAATGAAGTCATGGGAAGCACAGAAACATATGAAGAAAAGAAGTCAATTATGAGCTTTGCAAACTTCTGAATTTAGGCAAATATAGCCTCAGCTACAAGTTGCCTTTTTGGCAGCTTTCTAATGCTGTAAATTCCGATCATCCTGAAACACTTACATTTTGCTCAAGGGGTTATTCTTGTTCTGCCACCAGAACAAGGGGGAATCCTGAATGGCTGGCAAGAAGTTTTCTTTTCTTCTTGAAGAAAGGTTCCATTACAGTGGACAGTGAACTAATTCATTAGAGCCCCACTTCCTTCCCAAAAGCTAAACTAAATAGCCCAAGTCCATTTATGTAAACTGCCAAAAGAAAAAAAAAAAACGAATCTTTTAATAAAATTCAAGTGCTTAGAGAAGAATAACAGACCATATCCTACTTTGTCCATCATAAATTACGCCTATTTAAGCTGATCAGAAAGAAGTATTACATCTTTCCTCTGGTTAGACAGAAGTCAGCAATTAGTAATGGACACATACAGGAGCTCTGAAGACAGATTTTGCTGGAAATGGGGACGTAAGTAGAAACAGAAACACTGAGGCTTTAAGAATTTAATTTAAAACCGCCAAAACCTTTATTAACAGAAAGGAATCAATATTCTTCTCCAGAATTTTGTTTTCAGTACATTCAACTTGAGAAGCCAGATTTATATCAAGATGTCTGTACTACCAATTGCAGTAAAAGCACAGGATAGTTCACATAGATGATTCTTGAAAATATAACATATGATTTTAGTGTCATTAATGTATTTTAAGAACACCGAGCACACTTTAAACCTCAGGACAAGAAAACATTCTGCTTGTCCCTCTTACCTCTGACAGAACTCATTAAATCCCAGTCACTGCCCAAGACACACCTATCCCAATATCAAAAAAGTATGGTATTGCTATATGCAGTTTTAAAAATGTACACTGATGAGAAATCAAATAATACATGTATATAGTATAGATTTTATTTGTACAATACGGCTAATGTTGCTTACATCAGGCCTGTTCTAAAGAAGTGAGATCCCTAGCTTCTAAGGACTTCCTCCCAAAAATAATGATGAATCTGACTTTCTCAAATGGCCTGGATAAATTACCAGCAGCCCATGTCAATTTGCACAATTTGTAAATATACTATCTTATGGTTCTCTTCTCATACCTCCTACTATAGATAACTAATACAAATTGTCCCAAGTTCAAGACACAATTAATATGGACATGTCATCATGAGTTTCTTCTATGGACTTGAAAAATATTACCAGCATTTATGTATTTTGTGGAGTATAAGGGAGATTATAATCTGATGTTTTAATGTCCTGTTGTTGAATATATAACCAGATGAGGTCTTATTTGATGAAGATTTTCTTAAGCTTCTATAAAGCTCACAATCTGACATCTTTCTGATGCTCAGATTGTACTTTAATGCAAAATCAAGTTTATTTATTCAGGTCTCTTGACTAATGGGGTATAATTCCTGTTTGCTCAGTTGTTGCAGTTCCAGCCCTTTAAAGTTTAAGGACCAGAAAAGAAGCTACTGCTTCTTCAAACTGCTATGCAGAGTATTCCTGCTTCATGCAATCTTCAGGCTGACTTCATGGTTTCCTTCAGGAGCAGCATGTCCTAAATGACAAAGAGACAACCTTCCCAGAGCACCAGGAGTATGGTTATTGCTCTTCTTGTTGGCAAACTGCCCATCTCGTTTCCCAGTCTCACCCCATCCCAAATATCTGTAGCATGGAAACACTGTGAATAACTATAAATGCTACCACCAGTATCATTCAACTTGCAAACCCCATAAAATAAAAAATCCCACCACATAAAACCCCTGAAGAGACATGAAATTGCAACAGATTATGAGAAGTGTACCATCTGCAAAGCAAATTTATGCATACCATTGGCATAATATGCTCCTTGGGCAATGTGCAGACAAGCAAACCTCCCCCTCACTGTTCCTCAGAACTGCAACTTAGAGCCCTTTCAGACACCCAGGTTGGCTTTCACAAAGATGGTCCAATACCCCTAGGGAGCAGATCACCCACGCAGACTCAGGAAATTAAAAATGGGTTTTCTCTTCTTCTTGGATTGTTTTAAGCCTTAGGAAAAGCAGGGTTGTCTCAGTGCTGAGTATCTCATACAACACAGCTTCTTCCACTGAGCCCCAAAAGGGGCCAGCACAGAAGAGAAATCAACAGACAAACACCAGTTAAAACTATCATGATGTTTCATTTATTTCAGACCTTTTTTGTGTGTGCAGGGACATTTCCTGACCACCTCTCTTCAAAAACAGTTCTTCCATGGGTGGTTTGAATGACTCTTCCTATTCCTTTGAGAAGTAAAACAGTAATGATTTACGAAACTTTCTAACTAGAGGGAACACACATGAGAATCTGACGTGACAAGACTGGCAAAACATCAAAGACCCAGATGAGGGAACATTAATGAATCTGTTTGGCATGAGAAGTTATGCTATTGAGATAAATCAATTAACAGCTGTCCCTGCCATGATCACAGATCTTCTACTTTCCCAACCCCCCTAACTGATCTTTCCAAATGACACACTAAAGAAGACTGAAAATACCAACTTTTAAAGGGTCAAGAGATTTGTCAACCATGACTACATAACAGAATTGCGCGACTGTTCTCCAACTCTTAAGTCAGGGATAAAGATTTTCATGCCATCCCATTCCTGTGCATCATGTTCACTTCAGCTTCATAAAGGAATGACTACCTAGATATTTCTAAGAGCACCAAACACCCTAGTTTCAAATTTTAATATACGTAAAAACTGGTTTTGAGACGCTGCTGAGATTTAAACCAATGTCCTCTGTTAACCTTGACCAATCAGTCATTCCTCAGTATTTAAATGTACAAATTCCATATGCTTATACAGCAGATAAAAACCAAAGGGTTTCTGAACAAGGAAAGGGGACTGTCTCCACTGAAGGGAGCACTTACACAACTGGTTAACACAATGCATACACATGGTCTCGCTGCAGAATTCAGCTTTTATTCAGTTTACTGGTTTACATCTGCAGGAGTCTGTCAGATTTTAGTGTTCAAATATAACCTTGGGATCTGTAGAAACCACTATGCAACTAGCTTCATTCTTATGTCAGGTATTTGTTTTAGTTGGCTTCATGAACTGCAAAGTTCCTTTGGTGAGACTTAATGAACAAGGGATCCTTTGTAGAAGGCAGCAACACTAACCTTTTTATCTGAGCTCACAGAACCTTTAATTTGGGACTTGCAACTTTACAGCATTGTGAGACTTCCTTTCGCGCTCCTTGCAACTCCAAACCCAGGGCCAAATTCTACCTTCTACTTATCCCCAAGTGGTAACTTGCATCTCAAACTGCAGTCTGCAGAACAAATACCTCAGGTAGCATCAAACCATCCATTTTTCAACTAGAAGAGCCACAAATGCTCCAACAAGAATGAATAAACGAGTTCCACGTACATTTCATATTAATTCTCTTTTAGAAGTGGAGATTCAATGCAACAGATATGCAGTTTCTGCCAACTCTGTACATAAATAAACTGAACTTGCTTATGGCACAGGATCGGCACAATGCTCTTCTCCATGCCCAGCCCTGTCAAGGAAGAAGCAAAGAGGAGTGGCTGCTTCAATTAAGCTGTGCTGCCAAATAGCTGTACGCGGAGCTGCTGCCCAGTCTCTCTCAGAGCAGGCTGTAGAAGTTCAAAGAATCCAGGTGGTGCCGCACTGGCTGACAGCGCTATCAACCAAAAGTAAGAGGCACACAATAACAACAATAATCATAATGAAAAAATTGATGTGTTCATTCACAGAGAAACAAACCAAAACACTCTTCTAGCCTCAACTGTGGCTCTAGCCTGTAAAGTGATTATGTATGAAGGAAAGAATTCAGTGTGACTTTCAGCTTTCATGAATTAGCAGAGGTTTCAATTGAAGAGGAAAAAACAAGGTCTATCTGAGCTACAGTCTGCCCAATCTGGGAGCTGTTGTCACAATAAGCACGTAACCCATGACGTATCACCCATGTATATTTTCACTATCAAGCACAACAAAGGCAGCAAGTGCCCTTTGGCGCAAAAGCCCTGTGCACGATCCTCCCCTGTGGCATTCTGTTCCAAAAGATTATTTGCACTAGCGTGTACCCAGGAGCTGCACTCATGAGCAAGCACAGCACTGCACTCAGGCACAGAACGATCCTCTCCATAAAGTTTCAATTAGCCTTTCAACTCAGTTACACTGCATAAAAAAGAATCTGGGATACTAAACACAAGATGTCATGTTTCATAAGAGATTTAATAATATTATATTTTATTTTTCCTATTGACATTTAGTTTGGGTTTGAATTCAAAATATGAAGCCAAAAAAGCAAAATAAATTATCCTATGAAAGTTAACAAATTATTCCATTGTTTTTAATAGCACTGGGCAAATCCCACTGAATTAGGCATGAATTTGTCACATATGCAATAAAGAACCTAAGACTAATACATTGTTACTTATTTTTAAGAAACCCATTGTAAATCTTATTTTTAGTTTTAATTTTGTTCAAGTTTTAAATTAACTCCAGGCCTAAACTTGGAATATGCAATTATTCCACAAGGGGGAAAAAAAAAAAAAAATCAGGAGAGGTGACTGACAACTTGATCTGCTTTTCTGACCACCAAGTTAGATCCTTTATGAAATACCTGACTAACCCGATAGCTCTGTCTGATCAACGGCTATATGATCTAAGGTACATCTTCACAAGCTCCTCTCAGCCTGCATGACTCAAAACCGATTTGTCCCGGGGTTTCGGGAAGCCCTTCCTCAATATGAGGGGTTACCCACATTTATTAGAGCCTCTGCCACCGCCGGTACCGTAGGTCCCGGGGAACTGTCAGCATACCCGCTCCCCCAAGGCAAAGAGAAGACAGTCTGCCCATAACTATCCGTTTTAAACCCTGCCACTAAATGCCATGTAAACGATGAGAAAACGAGTGCTTCTATTCCCAAGAACTGTCCGTCCGCGCTCCGTGAGCCCCAGGGGGGGTCTGTGTGCCGCTCCTCGGAGGCTTGCGGAGGGTGCCGGGGCAAAGCGGGACCCGCT